AAGCGAGCATCCAAAGGAGTTTCCATCATATTTGAAGAGGTATCAAAGGTTTAAAAAAAGTCTGTTTAGAGATTCTTTTCACGATAACGCGTTTAAAACATCAAATAAACTTTAGGTAATCTAACAAGAAATGTATAGTCAAAACGACGCTAACATGACGGTGTTGAGTAAAGACGTCACAGTGTAAAACTGCTGTACATAATGACTCGTTGACCGTGAGTCAAAAAATTAATGGCGGACGAAAATAAATCGTAAAAGTTTGGCCCTTCCCTTTCGAATATTAGAAAGATATTTCAGTGAGAGGTTCTTAATGTGTTCAAGATTATTTCAGCAAAGTTCCAGCTCGAATGAAAGAGTTTTAATTTTGGAACGATTTTCGTCCAAGTGGCCCTTTAAACCATTCAGGTTGCCATGAAATGCTTAACATAGACCACAAGACATTTATCAGGGGAAAATGCTTTGAAATGCACTCCGTAGGTTCATTTGTGACCAGTTCATTGACTTTGCGCACGTATTTTTCGGGCTAAAGTTTTGCTAGAGAACTTTTCGTGGTTTTATGCGTCACCTCATTAACAAAGATTTTGGATAACAACTCGGCGCATACTCCAACGGAGAAAAGTCAAATTTGAGCAGAGATTCCTTTCGTAATGATCAAGAATAACAACAACAAAAGCCAGTAAATGCAAATACCAGGCAAAAGAAAGACGAAAAGGTAGAAAAGATATTGAAAGCCGCGAAATGTTTTTGACATCTCTTAACAAAGTTTGTGAATATGCTTGTTAAAAAGTTGTTTTAACATTGCCATACTTACGGCTTACTTACATGAATTACGGCTTCAATTTAATGAAGATCGTCAAAAGAATCCCGACTACTGATAGGCCAATAATAGGATATCGGACATATCCTGGTATTTCTTTAGGATCTCTTGTGTCAGTAGGCTCCGTATTGGTCGTTAAAGTAGGTTTAGTGGTGGGTTGGTATGTAGGGTTTTCATCCATATACGCGGATACAGAGAGTATTGTCTTGTTGATGGCTCTGCCGATACGACCAAGAGATCCATTGACGATATCAACAAGAAGATCCCCATCGACTGTATCAGTGACTCCAATGGCGAATCCTGGCGGAAATTTAGCGTAGAATGCCACAGCAGCAATCACGTGATCAGGGATGGACGAGTAAGACAACTGCACTGGGTAACCTGGCAGAAGATGAACTTGTTGTGCTGTGAAGATGACATGTCGGTCATTGGGACGCCTAGGAAATATTAGATTTTATTAGTTTCTTTTTTCCTTTTTCTCTTTCGTTATTCCAGTTAATTCGATAGTTTTACCTTACTCTTATCTTGTGTTCAAAGCAGCTTTGATCTTTAGCACAGAATTCATTAACTTCTTGGGAAACAGCATTCTTGAAATGCAGATCTTTTTCTTCGTTCCACTGCGAAAATATTGTATAACCGTCATCATATTCATATATCGTGATCCCTTTATTACGATATTTTACTGCATTATTTTACTATAATAGTCACATTTATAATGCATACTTTATATTGAACTGAGAAGAGGTGGTTTCACCATTTCTTTGCTGAAAGTATTCTTATTTTATATCCACACCTACCTCAGTTATGTCAAGTTCTTGGATAGTAACATTGACAGAGTTTTGGACATCTTTTTCTGAAGATGGTCTTGGTGTTGACAGAGGTCGAGTGGTAGCAGGTTTCTCTGGTTCTAAAACAAATAAATAAATATCACTTTCTTTACAGTAGTATAGTTTTTCATATGTGTGCATATAACAAACCTGTGGCTTGCGGGTCATTATCGATCTCACTGGTAAAAAGTATATTATTTTGTCTTTTTGTTACTATGTACTACCTTGACATTCATTGCCATTCCACACAAAGCCTTTCCTACACTCGCATTTGTAGGAGCCAATGGCGTTACGGCAACGCAGATTAAAAGAGCAGTTGAAAGTCCATTCAAGGCACTCGTCGATATCTGGAAAAGAAGTTTATTATGCAGTGTAAGGTGCTTTCTTGCGCAATTTATTTCCATTCTTTTTTTCCCATATCAACGATTGAACTAAAAACTACGCATGATTTCTAGTCAATAGGAAGTGAGCACAATGGTAAAACTACAATAATAAGGGGCTGAGAGACAGGAGAACAAGGTGTATGGAAAACTATAAAAATACGTGTCCCTTCCTTTTCTCTGCCTTCATAACCTTCTTTCCAAAGATTTCTTAGCCCTGTCACGTCATTCTCTAACGATAGACTTATCATACAAAGAAAAAAAAACATTTCTATATCTTCACTTACCGACGCATGTTACGTTGTCAGTATCCAGACGATATCCAAGACGACATTCACAGTAGTACCAACCAATGGTATTGCGACAGTCCTGATTACAGCGATTCTTACCTGTTGTGCATTCATCGATGTCTGGAAAACATCGTGTTTTACGATCAAATATGATTTATTATTACTACCTCAAAGTTACATACCGTAAATCCTCTATTTAGGCCTCCCTCTCAAATAAGCCCCCCCTCTCTAATAAGCCCCCCCTCTCTAATAAGCCCCCCCTCTCTAATAAG